TCCTCCCATAATGATGTCCTCTCATTTCTGTTATCATTAGTGTTCAATGCATTAAATCTGCTCCTGAGATGTTTTCAAAATTTAAATATGATAGACTCAAAGTCACAGTTGGGCTCTCTGGAACTTGTTTAATTTCCCTCAATTTCAACATAACTTTACTTATGAGAACTTGATGGTCAATTCCACAGTCATCCCATGGCCTGGTTTTAGCTGCTGATCTTGAACTTTTCCATTATCTTTTCTCATAGATGTAGTCAATTTCTTTTCTGTTATTCTATCTGAAGAAGTCCATGTATATATTTTCCATTTGTGTTGTTGATAAAATGCATTTCCTGTAAACAAGTCATTGGCATTGCAAAAATTGCTATCATCTACCTATAGCTTACTGTGCTTTCAAAAGAAAATGGAAAGAATACACAGAGTCACTACCAAAAGAACTTTTTGGCATTTCACCATTTCAGGAGGCAGCATGTGAAAGAACTAATGGCACTGAAGGAAAAGAAGTTCCAACTGCACTGAAAGCAATAGTCAAAAACAAAGCTCCTGGAAGTTATGGAATACCAATTGAAATGTATCAAAAAAGCTAATGAAGCACTGGAAGCACTCACTTGCCTATACCAGGAAATTTGGAAGACAACTACTTGGCCAACTGATCAGAAGAGATCCTTATTTGTAACCATTCCAAAGAAAGGTGACCCAAAAGAATGCTCAAACGATGGAAGACTATAATTAATATTGCATGCAAATAATTTTTTGCTGAAGATCATCAAACAATTGTTGCAGCATTACACGGAGCTGCTAGAGCTTCAGCCTAGATTCAGAAGAGGATGTAGAAGAAAGGCTATCATTGTTGATGTCAAATGGATCTGGACTCAAATTGGAGAATACTAGAAAGATGCTTACTTGTTTTTTATTGACTATGACAGTCAATAGAATGTGTGAATCATAACCAACTATGGACAACCTTGAGAAAAATGGGAATTCCAGAACACTTTGTGGAGCTCATGTGGAACTTTTACGTGGATTAAGATGCAGCTGTGAAAACAGAAGTAGGGAATACTGCGTAGTTTACTATATGAAAAGGTGTGTGTCAGGGTTACACCCTTTCACCACACTTATACAATCTCTGTGGTGAGCAAATAATTAGAAAAGCTGGTTGATATAGAGAAGAATACGGCATCAAGTTTGGAGGAAGACTTATTGGCAACCTTTGATATGCGCATGACACGTTTGCTAGCTGAAAGCCAGGAGAACGCGAAACACGGATGAAGATCGGGATTTGCAGCCTTCACTATGGTTCATGCCTTATTGTAAAGAAGACCAAAACATGCACAACTGGACGAGCAGGTAATGTCATGCATGATACATAGAGGAAAGATGGACATTATCGAGGACTTTGTCTTGCTTGGATCCACAATCAATGCTCATGAGTATGGCAGTCAAGAGATCAAATAATGCATTGCACTGGGGAAATCTGCCCCACAGGCCCTCTTCAAAGGATTGAAAAGCAAGGGAATTACTTTGAGGACTAAAGCACACCTGAACCAGGTATCTTATGTTCAATTGTCAGGTCTGCATGTGAAACTTGGACAATGAATAAGGAAGAGCAAAGAAGAATCAACACGTTTAAGTTATGGTGCTGGTGACAAATATTGGAAGCATATGTAATGCCAAAAGAACAAACCAATCTCTTTGAAGAAGTGCAGCCTGATTAGAGGGCTTGGATGAAAAGATTTGCCTTATATACTTTGGACCTGTTCTCAGAGAGCCAATTCCTGGAAAAAGAAAAGCATGATTTCTATAATAGAGGAGGAAAAAAACAAACAAACAAAAACCCGCAACAAGATTTTTTGATTCGCTGGCTGTAACAATTGGCTCAAACCTATGTACATTAGGGTTGCGTGTTGTTCTATTGTACATAGGATTTCTATGAGTTGAACCCAATTAAAAGACACCTAAGGGATGCAACATGTATTGACTTTTAGAAATTCTGTGGTATACTTATAGAAGGTAATGTTCCTTATTTTTTTTTTTCATGCAGGGTATGTTCCAACCAGTCAGCTTAATTTGGTCTGCTAAGTAACAGTAATAACAGTAATACGACTCCATAGCATTTGGATCCTTTAGTTCTCAGTATGAGAACGTGCCAAAAAAGAAACTAGACAATTAAATACATACCATCTTCAGGGAAGAAACTTTAATAGGATGTGTGTATGTGAAAAAAAATGAAGGAAAGAAATATAAATGTAAATGAAGACACAGGAGCACAAGCAGAGAGAACAGCATTTTTGAACAGCATTGCATTGCAGAGAATTATTTAATATGGCTCTTATAGTCATTATTAGTCCTACAAAAATAATTTTTAAAATTTCCCCAATGGGACTAGGGAAGAATCACATAGATTATTTAATTCTGTTTTGAGTACTTTTTATAGAGTTAATTGAGATTGTCTTGCTTCTGGACATAAGATAAACCTTTCCAGAATCAGAAAGGGAGAATCTCACCCAAGAAAGAAGAGCCAGAGTGGAGCAAACTCAATAATTAAGGGGGCAGGTGTAGTCTCAGAGAAAAAACAGAGGAGGAAAGAGGAAGGGCAGCAGCTTAACGAAGAACCCAAGTATAAGACAGAAAGGTAGAGATCACAGTTTCTGGATCAAGTAAAGGTGATTACCTTCTGGCTGGAGTCTGACTTATGGCATGGAATGCCACCAGGCACTTCACTGGGGAACCGAGTTTGCTGACCCAATAAGCTAGAACTGAGAGCCTTCGGTTGAGATTTATGGTAGAGTGGTGTGCTCTTTGAGCATTTATCGGCAACACTAAAAGAGCTTTGTAACTTTCCCTGAGTAGGCTGAAGAACCAGCCGGAGAAAGGTTTGCTTGCAAACAAAGGAGGAAATAAGCAACCCTGCCTAAAAAAGTTCATCCTGAGTAATAAGTCCTGTTCCTGAGAGTATGGTCTATGAGCTCTGTGTGGCCATTGTAAGGATTTATTAAACCTGAGGGAGAATTGGTAAGGAAGGTTAGCAGTTGGAGGCAAGCTGACTCCTGTCTCCTAGGAAACGGCCTTGGGTAGCTGATGCTAATGATGGTGGCCCTTCTCTCCCCCCTGGTGAAGTCACCAAAGGTCAAATGCCTTCCCCTTGTCCTGTTTTTCACAGGCACTGCAGCATAAGCAAGTAAGCCACTGTAAAATTCCACTATGATGGTAACTAAAGGGCTAACTAATGCTTTCCTCTTAGAATTTGTAGGAGGGGCATGAAGTTATTGTTTCCCAGAGAGTTGTATCTTGTTTATAAATTTGTTTATTTTAATATGTTGGTCCATATTAGAGTTTCACAGTGTTCTGAATGAATGAATTGAGGGATTTCCCTGGCAGCAAAGGGGGTTTCTGTCACTTCACTAACGAGGTTTCTCCCTGCGAGCTGGCTGATGCTTTTCTGCTCTCGTCATATTGTTTATGATTACTCTATAAATGCTCCATTTGTTTTTAGCTCCTTTGCTAAATGAAGGGCAAAACGCAAGGCACTAGTTTTGTTAGTTTTTTTTTTGCATTTGTGCAACAAATTTTTTTAATGTTTCATATTTGTGAAACTTTAAATGATTTTTTTAAAAAGAAGGAGCTGTGTAATTGTCCAATAAAAGTATCCACGGTAGTGATTACTTTTAAAACTTCATAATCTATTCTTGTTTTTAAAACCTTTTTCTGCCACATGTATACAAGCATGCATGTCTCTATATCTATTTTTCATATATCTGTATCTCTGACTTGATACCTGACTATTATAAAAAGGCGATTATTCTCATTTGATACGATATATATTTAGGTTAATTTGCCAATGATTCAATATCTAAAAAAATATATTCTATATCATATATTTAGAAAATATGCTAAGATGATTTTATATCTGGAAAAATCCATTTTGTTCAATATATTTAAGAGGAAAGAAAGCTGGGCACAAGGTGGTAAAATTTATATTTTAAGTGTGCATTTTTATAATTCACAATAAACCAGAGAAGTAACCAATATCCTAAGTACTGATAAAAATGAACATGGTAGCATTGTAAGAGTTTACATGAAGTCTAGATTTAGAGAAGGTAATCATCTTATGAAGGGCGTGGTAGAACTCAAGGTATAGGAAAAGGCATGTAGAAATAATGGAATCCTATTCATCTTTCCCAAACATCCTGCATTTCCTGACAAATTTTAGAGGATTCCCTGAGAGATTTGAGCATATAAAAGAGAAGCAAAGGGTTTAATATGGCTTTTGATCAATAAAAAATAGATAATTATGTTTCATTGATTATAGTACATGAACCGTTAGTATAAGCTTACCAGCTTAGGAACCTCTGCTTTAATAAAGGGTAGTTTAAGGACTACAACTACATTTTTCTTCATAGCACCAGGTTCTTAACAACCAAAGATAAATGAACCATCTTTTTCTTCAGTGCAAATGAGGAGAAAACACACACACACACACACACACACCCTGAGGGAAGAAATGGCAGCAAGACCGAGCTCTCTTTAGTACTTTAATTGAGAAGGGAGAAGCAGTCTGGCGGTTTGTGGGAGTGAATCTAATTATCAGTCTCTTACTTTCATTAATAGGTTGGAACAAGTTAACTTCTCAAAGAAGAAAGAATTAGACATTATTCTTGGATTCTTAAAGAAGTTCTGATGATTTAAGTATTATTTTTATAAGTCCATAATGAAGCGGAGAAGGTGGGCAGTAAGAAAATCGAGTATGGAAACAGCAATAATAATTGGTAGAACATAGTGCATAGAGATGTCAAAGAAAAGCCTTTGGGTAACTGGAGAAGCGAATATGAATAAGTTTTCATCTCTATATGTAAATTTTTATTAGTATAATGTTCTTGAGGTGAAGTTCTCAAGGTTTTATTTCCTCATATACCTGTTTCATTTCCACTTTTCACCAATCAGCCATGGGGAAAAACTAACTTGTAGCCTAAGTGTTTTTTCATCAAAATTTGTCTTTACAGTCTCACTAGCCAAAAATCTGATGATGACTATGAAGATTATGCTTCTAATAAAACATGGGTCTTGACTCCAAAAGTTCCTGAGGGTGATGTCACTGTCATCTTAAACAACCTGCTGGAAGGATATGACAATAAACTTCGACCTGACATAGGAGGTACGTTAAGAGCTGCTGTGGTGTGATGTAGCCGGGAGCACATGCCCTTCCTACTAGAGACATTCATCACCATGTTTCAAAGGCCAGAAAGATTGGAATGATACTTTCCTTAGACTTTGGATGCTAACCACAAGTTCAACAGTTTGATATCATCAGACACTTCACAGGAGAAAGATGAGAGTTTCTCCCCCACCCCACCACCCCGG